CCAAGTTTAAAAATCCTTCAGAAAGGTCTTTGACAATGTTTAAAAACTGGGTTGCAAGGGATGTGATTATGTCGGTACCTTCATGAGGTCGCTAAAAATAGAGCATAGTAGGATGAAAAAGACACCAAACTTGACGAAAACAAAATTTTAGCATCTAAAATGTTATTATTGAGAGGAAAGATCAAAGTTTATTTTAATTATTTTTTAAATTTTTTCCTTTTTTTTTTTTTAGAACATTCTAAATTTTGATTAAAAAAAAAAAAAAAAAAAAAAAAAAAAAAAACCTTGTTTCTCTTTGTATCACCGGAACTAGTAAAATAAAATTTTAGCACATTTTTTCTGTATGACACACATTAATTTGGAAAATCTTGCAAAAATAAAAATAATTGTCGGATTTTAATGAAACTTTCAGAAACTATTCACAAATGATGGAACTTATTATAAACGTTTTTTTTTTTGTTTTTTTATTAAAGTCATGGCAGAAATTTTTTTTTTTTTTATTACCCCCCCTCCTAACTAATTGTATGAAAACTAATTTCAATTTTGTGAAGATTAGTGATTATAGTAGTTAAAAGCACAAGGCTTTGAGGAAACCAAATCATTTTTAGTTAGACCACCTCTACCTGAAAATCGTCTCTGAATTGTAACATACAAAACTCAATGAAACAATATTTAATTTCAAAAGCTTTTAATTGCTTTTATTTCAATGAACATGGACAATATTGTCTGAAAGCAAAAAGATATTTTGATGAAAAATGAATTTTTAAAACAATTGTTATTTCTGAAATATTTAATTTTTACATTAAAATGTTAATTCTTCTAAAATTAGGGAAAAATTTGTAAAATTTAACAAATGTTGTTATTAAGTAGATATACATTTACAAATTATAATTTTCAAGGCTTTTTTACAAACTAATGAACAACAGTATATAAAAAAAATATAATTTGAGTCAATAATACTGTAAATCAAATCTACGGAAGACCAGAAGTATCATGTGTGCAATAAAAAAAAAGTCACGTGGATTGAGTTTCTGTCTAGTATTTAACTTAAATACTGAATTTTTAATACAATTATTTGTTACTTCTTTAATTATAATCGATTTTTACATCTAAGTTGTTAAAATATTATAAAATTAGTTAAAAGCTGCATTCAGTTTCGTAAGCATCCTTTTGAGATATAGATTTATTTTTGTGAAAAACGTGTGAAGTTAATCTGATTTTTCAATTTCAACAGAGAAGGGCACCTACAAGTATCAGTATCATCTTATTTTTATATTAATCTCAGTTATGACATTTTTCCATAAATGAAATATCAAAATTAATAAAATGAATGGAAATATAAATAACACAGTAAAATGTAATAAATGTACATAAAATTATATTATTTTATGTATACTTCTGATAAAATTCCATAAGAAAGGTACTGATAAATTAATTAGATACCTTTCTTATGAAAGGTGAAATTTAATCTCACTCTTAACAGTTATTTTAATTTCTTTATAATATATATTTTCCATATAGCATCGTAAACAAAGGTGAAAGCGAAGTACAAAAGAGCGGTGAAAGTTTTCCTTAAAAATAACGATGTAAATAATTTGTTCACTTAAATGTAAATTATTTCACTTTTCTCCTGTAGAACAAATTAGCTTCACGGAATCCGTCAATATGTCATCCATCACCTGTCAAGTGACGCGAAAGTTTATGACCTGCTTTGTTTTATTTTCAAATGACAAATTTTCAGCGCAGAAGCCAAGTTAAGCTTGGTTCAAAATATTTTAAATAAACAATTTCTGATTTTTTTAAAATAAGTTTTGAAAAAAGTGATAATTGATATTTAAAAGAATTTCAAAGTGAGATTTCCATTTTTTTTTTTTAAAAGGAAAAAAAAAAAAAAAAAAAAGAAAATTTAACGAAAATTTCTTTAGTCAACAAAATATCCCTGACTGTTTCTGGCATTGTAATAACCATTTGTGCAGCATAATCAAGTTTTTTATCAATTTGGAGGCAATGTTAGAGACTTCAAGATTTGTGTGTGTGTGTATATATATATATATATATATATATATATATATATATATATATGGGGTATACATTTTCATTTTTGGTTTATTGGGGGGAAGGTTAGACAAATCAACACAGCATGGTAACTCAATTTTTATAGTTTTTTTTCTATTTCCACATAATTTAAATTACAGAGTTATATTTTGCACATAAAAGTCATACTGATAAAACATACCATGATTTTTTTTTCAAAAAAAAAAAAAAAAAAAAAAAAAAAAAAGGCTTTAATTTTCATTCCAAGAAGTAATCCATCATAAAAATGCTTAAAATTTTAATATCTATGCAATTTTTTTTTTTTTTTTTTTAAATCATCTTAATTATTGAGAGGGAATGAGGTGTGTATATGGCATGACTCATTTTGCAAAAAGCAAGATTCCATTTATGTTAGTCTTAAAATAATGAAAATTAGTGAATACTTTAAAGTTTAATTCACCATTTTTGAGCTTGGTTCAGATTTCAGTACAGTAAGTGTTCTAACCTAGGGAAAGTTACTGAATAGAATAATCAAATGAAGGCTGGTAATGAACGATAATACTTAAGACAAGAACACCACATAAGATTCGCCAGTGGCACATAGAAGTAGTAGTCAACTGCCAGAAGCGAGTCAAGTGAATTCCACAATGAATCTCCAACTGCCCCACGCGGTCAGATGTGACAAGGCTGAATTTAATGTAGGGTATCCAAGCCTGTAGGCTCAGCCAAAAATTCCCCATATAAAAATGAGGTCAGGTAGTAAATTGCAGATTCAATAAGAAACAAAGTTCAATCTTATTTACTTTGTTTTATTAATTCAAGATTCGTGCAACTAGCTTTATTTTTAATATTTTCTTACTCCTTAAATGATTTGTTTATATTTACATTAGTAATTATCAGGTAACATTTTAAAATAAAGAGAAACTATATATAATTGTTTCCGCTATGGCAAGTTACTGGAGAAAAAAAAGTATGGAAAGAATCCTGAACTCTACACGATTCCTATGGACTTGAAAAAAGGACTGTCAACCACAATGTAGTATGGAAGCTCCTCAAAAAGCTGCATATTCTTGATAAAATGTTTAAGGTTGTCATTTCTTTCCATCAGGACATAGAAACTATCATCTCAGATGTAAAGTTTTGATCTCTAAGAAATAGAAAGAAACAATGTGTTATGACTCCTGTAATTTTTGCTCTTTATTTCAGTTTTATTTAAATTAGAAAACTTGGAAATTCTAATACTGGCATTAAGTTCCAATTCTCCTTAGCATAACATTTTCTACTGACATGAAGTGGAGTGACTATATAGAATCAATTGCTTTGACTACTGCAAAGAAAGTTTGTTCACTGCGTCATATCAGAAAATCTCTTCAGAATCAATCTTGCATATTTATAAATCTACCATTCATCCATGCATTGAATACTGATGCCATGCTTGGTCTGCTGCATGTTTCAAGATTCCTGACAAAATCCAAAGAAGCTGCTGAAATGTAATAAATCCTAACCTGGCATCTTGACGTGTCACTTTCTCAGACGTGAAGTGGCTTTCCTCTGTCTTTTCTACAAATATTTCTACTCCAGTTTCTTTTCTTTACTTTCTACCTGGACTCCTGTTTTCTTGCTTCCTTGATAATTACAATTTTCAAAAATTTAAATGCAATGTCAATCTTCTTGAATCCTTCCTATTTGCATTCATTCTATTGAGATGCTTTGCTTGAGATGAAATGATTGAGAATGAAAGAAAGAAAAAAAAAAAAAAAAAGATTCAAAAGCTAAGAGCATAATAGATTATTGTTTGTGATCTATTTGCCAATGCTGCTGCTGATTGCAACATCCGTTTGTGAGGCTCAAGATCATTCTGGTCAATTTTTCAACTGCATACAAGGCATTTGGCTTAACAATTCATATCAAAAAGACTGAAATGGTACACCAACTTAAGCCAATTCCTACATCTGTAGATAGTGTTCAGCAACTCCCTTCAGCAGGCACTACCATTTGTGCCAATTACTATTGATGGTAAATGATTTTGAAGTTCTTTAAGTGCTTCAGAAATAAGAATTCAGCCTTTCCTGATGATGAGATCACTTGTTGCATCTCCAAGGCTACAGAATGCTTTGGAAATCTGCCATCAGCTGTTGGAATGTCAGAGAAATTTCCTTGGAAAAAACAAAACAAACAAGCTTAATATATACCAACCTGTAGTAATTACAACTCCTATACCTCCAAATCCAGGACCACATTTGCCAGCTTTGTCTTGTATAACCAGTGCCTTTTTTACAATCTGTAGTTCTAATCTTGAAGTCAATATCTAATATTCATCAGTTTTCAAAGTGCAAAATTAGAGGTGTAGACACATTTCTAACTTTACTGCATATAAATTATGAAAAGACACTGAAAATTCTCATGTACAGTTTTTGGAAAGTGGGAAAACATGTAGTACTAGAATAAACTTAACCAAATCATGTGGTAGTGGCTTCTGAACATGTCAAGTGATGAAGTGTGTGGATAAAAAGTAATACAACTTGAAATTATACATTGAAAATTTTACATATTACACAGCAAAACACTGCTTTAACATCCATGCAGCATTCACAAAGAATGCCGTTCCTTGCTCTATAATAAGGAATATTGTATGGTTTTAAAGTAAGCCTTGAAAGTCATTGAAAGTACAAAGATCAAAAGGCAGAACATGTTGAACCCTCAGACAAAAAGCAACAGATGAGTCCATTATATAGCTTAAATGATAATTGAGTTTTAAGAAAAGCAATGAGAAATGCTAAATGAAACTTATTTTTTATAGAAAAAGGTTTTGAAGGAAAAAAAAAAAAAAAAAAAAAAAAAACATGCTAATCTTAAAGGAACAAATTTGGTACAGGTTAATATAACAATCAATGTCATTTTACTTTAAGACATAATGAAGAAGAGGAATGTTAGAGTTGTCTGGAACAAGATAATTTGCAACTTACCTTCGCCGAGATATAGAAGGTTCTACTTGCATAACAAAGCCCTGCAGGTTATAGCCTATAAGAAAATGAGAAATTTTTATTATAGCAGAATAAAAAGCTGGCACAAGAATAGTGTATACAATGGAGCGTATAAAAAAAATAATATATATTATATATATATATATATATATATATATATATACACACACATCAAAATAGAAACTAATAAAAGAAATATATATATATATAAATAAAGGTCAGTTGAAACTGCTATCTCTGTTTAAACCTTACAGTTTGTTTATTTTTGAATAATAATGTAGCCTTCTTTAGTTTTCTTTAACAAAATGAAAAAAATTTTAAAAAATAAAATAAAGTGTCAGGTTATTTGATAAAAATTGCCTGAGAATACCATAAGGTTGAAACCAAGGTAGCAGTTTCAACTGACCTCCTGATTTTTTAAATTAAAAGCTGTAAATATTTTTACTTTTGTTTTTTCACACGTGTATTGAGCACTTTTTAATACTACTCTTTCCTGGTCCGATTCAACTGACCATTAACATATATAAAATTGAATACACATCTAATGTTGATAACATGACAGTTTTGACAGTTTCATGCAGATTAGCAATCTTTAGGTGCTGGATACAGTCTGCAAGAAACTCAAAGTCATACTATCGATGTTGGATATTATGTGTATTCAATATATACATAATATAATACTGAGCACTGTATTTGTAACACCTGTGGAAGAAATATATATGTACATGCAAGTATATGTGCATATATGTATATATTTTTAAAAAATTTTTAAAATCATACCCATATATATCAAGAACAGTTTTCAAAGAAAAGATGCATGATAAATTGGAGCAAGTTTTTGTGACATGTTTCATCTGTTAGCACGTCATTCATATAACACAAATTTCATTAAAAACAACAGACAAGGTACTGCAGTTAAGTTTTGTTTTTTTTATTTAATTTTTCTTGTGTTCTTTCTGGATGTAAAGAAGGTAGAAATTGTCCAAATGTTTTGCATGTCCAAGCACTTTCAGTAGAGGAGCACGATCTCCACAAAATGGAAAACTGAGGAAAGTTATTGTGAAAAAAATCAGACCTTTTATAATTTCTAAGTTTACTGTACTATCAACATAAATGTAATTTGTACTTCATAATAGGCTAGCCATATCCACTATCATCACTTCAAAATGTATATTCTAATGGTAAAAATTCCTCAGCTGGAACTTGACAGAATCATTATTTTGCAATATACAGTGAAGTCAGTCACTTATGTGCAAGTGCTACAACCTATATTACTGCAACATATTCTATAAATAACATGGGATATTTTCCACTACTGATCCCAGTAATGCTCAAATTCCATAACCATGATATTAACCTGGCCAAACTGGTTACCGCAGGGCAAATACCAATGTGCAATATTAGCATATGAATAGTGTAATTGACTTTTGCCAAGCTAATTTCTTTCTGGACTTGTTCCTTTTGCCACACCATTTTTTTTTTGCAGGAGCAAAAAACAACTGTTTTTAAATTGTTATAACTTTCTTTGTATTGTGTATATAGATTTTATTTTTTGTACACTAATAAAAGAATGAATGAGTAATATTTTGATGTAATGCATTACATTTTGTATGCATATTTTGATGTTAAACAAAAAATTGAAATGCAAAATAAATACATAAACAATTCAACCAACTTATTACTTTGTGAAGTTCTGGGGGCAGGGGTTGCAATAAGAAGCAAGATCACTAAAAAAAAAAAAAAAAAAAAAAATGCTCATCTTCATGTTTACATACAAGAAGACACTAGCATTTGCTCTTTCTTTCACCTATCATATTTATTAGGTCTCATTGACAAAAAGTTATTTCGTCATTTACAAATAGATGAAAAAGAAAGCCTACCGGGTATATGGATGGTCGCCAGTAGCTTCCATAAAATTAGTCAGGCATGGATGGATGATAATAGTCTCTAGTGGTCATTATTGCTTTCCTCCACATGGTTATCTTCAACCACTTCACCATCAATATCCATTTGAGTAAAGCCTTCAAAATCAGAGTCCTAATCAAAAAGCTCCTGAATAAAGGCTTTGTTGGATGATGATGCAGCCATTTTTACAAAAAAAAAAAAAAAAAAAAAAAAAAAAAAGGGCTCAATCAATGTTAAACCTCATGTAGAGTTTAGAATTCAATGTGTCAGAAAACAGAAGTTTAACCTTGTTCCAAAGCAGTAGTAGATGACTTCCATCTTTAAATACCGGAAATAACTCTAAATAACTCTTGACAAGTGTTTATTTATAGTAACCGGCGACAATTTTCACCTCCAGCATGGTAAAGGTTAAATTAGATTTGTAAATGCCAGTGTGATCATCTTTCATGAGTAAGCAAAAAGCTAGCAAACTTGGTGGGTGCACACTTTTGGCAAAATAAAGAACTGAAGAGCCAGCTTTCTGTGATGATTTTTATCATGATGGTGATAAATTATTTTGCAGTTTTTGTCAACACACTAGATTGAACTTTGAGGGACATGCTTGTGGATCATCAGAAATAAAAAAAAAAAAAAAAAAAAAAAAAAAGAGAGAAGATGTCTCCAAAAGGGAAAGTTCCCCAGAAAAAACAATGCACATTTGGAAAAGCTGTGATCAACAATGGACCAATGGTATGATTTCCAATGTGATTTTGTGCATATGATATATGCTGATATACCACTTGGAAAAACAGATTAAAAAATATACAAAAATGAAAACATTTTTGAAGTACTGCTCCCAAAGAGGTGCAGATCATAACACCAGAGAATTTTTGCCTTTTTTTGATGAGCATTACTGTTTAGAAGGAAAAACTAGCTGGCAAATTGGTGTCAGTTTCAATGAAATGAGAGACTCATGATAAAAGCTTACTGAATGTGGTAGTTGGTCATTTGGAGAAACTATAACTGATAGACAGTTTTGAAAATGCTGTCAAATGTTGGAATAGACTACAATAATGTCTACTGTTTTGTGACTAAAAATGCTGCGTATTGTTAAGAATGCATGGCACATCCTCAATCTTGTCAGGAAAGATATTGTGAAGAACAAGTATTTTCAAAGTCAATGTTTGTGTTAATGAGATATATATGACTAAAGATAGGTAAAATATGTACAAAAAATAAGATACGTAAATACTGTAACTGAATAATATAACTAAAATATTCTAATATACAAGAAAAATATAATAATGTATGATTAAAAGTAAAAAACAATGAAGACTCATTAACATTGCTTTCTTAGAGCCATGGGAAAAAAAAAAAAAAAAAAAAAAAAATGTCCATTTACTCTGACATCAGCATTCATATCCATGAATTATATATATATGTGCAGAAATATAGTTTTAAAGTGTGCTATATTTATGGGATAAAGTGCTCAATATCAGAGAGTGTATATAAATATGAAAGTGAATATCGAAGTCAACACTCATTGGCGACAGGCTGTTTTCATCCTAGATGCAATTGTCAGGCCTGACGATTGCATCTAGCATGAAAGCCTGTTGCCACCAAGTGCTGACTTCAATGTTCACACACACACACATTTTATATATATATATATATATATATATATATATATATATATATATATATATATATATATATGCTTGCTTATGAAATTGAAGGTAGAGTACAATTTATCACTCAATGTTACAGAGAAATCAAATTTCCAACTAATTTAAATAATCCTACAAAATACCTGCCAAATGACAATTTTTGTTGAAGAAAAATGAGTATACAAGAAAAAGCAATAGAAAAAAAATGTCAAAATCAACAGAGTAAAGACATCTAATTAAATGCTCAAAAAAAGTTAAACACTTATATTAGGTATCCCAAATTAAAATATTATTTTCAATAACTAAAAACAAAATCTGGTATCAAATTTATCTTGGTAGCTCAATCAGCAATGAAGTTATGACCATTCAAATTTTGTCAGCTTTCCATCTCATGTGCTATTGGTTCAGAGGCCAATTTCAACAGTATATAACTGAAGATACAGGCTTTAGAGTAGTTAAAAATCAGTATTGAAGTAAAATAAATATAATACTAATAGAATCAATCATTAGATCAGACTAACCTAAACATTGTGAAAAATTATTTTCTCAAAATGATATCGTTAAGACATTACACAGAAGAGTACTTTTGATTGTTCCTCCTGTTTTGTGACTAAAAATGCTGCATATTGTTAAGAGTGCATGGCATTACAACTGTTACAGCCTTTTAAAATCTTGCAGAGAGGAAACTAATTTTTTCTTTTTTTTTTAATTTATTAGTACATCAATAGCAAACAAAGAAACAAAGAAACAAACACACACACAATGGAAAACAACCAGAAATGTAATTTGACTGTATAGCTAAAACAGGTCAAAAGGATATCATCCATGCACTCTATATTAGAAAGTCAATGTTGAGACAGGAGAGAACTGGAGGCCAGTTTTAAACATTATATGATCCCATGTGAGCAGCAGGGCATTTTAGTTTCAGTTTGAGCTAGCTATTTCAGTGTTGTCGGCTTAAAAAATTTAAAGAAATTTTCCCTTACATTTGGAATATCATTTACCTTATTTAATTGAAGTATAAGATTTATGTATTTTGAGTTGGTATATATATATATATATATATATATATATATATATATATATTTTTTTTTTTTTTTTTTTTATGTATATTGTAAAAACCAAATTTTGGGGTTTTTAATTCACTATGCAAAAATGGTATTTAGGAATCTTGGTCTTGTTACTTTGAATTTTAAGCATCTTATTTAACATTTTTTCACTGAAAGTTTAAGGTTCTAAAAAAAAAAAAAAAAAAGTGGGGGTAAACACTTTGCTTCTCCCATGAGGTTTAGATTTTCTGAAGACTACACCTTTTTTTTTTTTACTGCAAGATTTATATAAAATGCTATTTGTGAAATGATCAAAGTTATTTTAATATTTTTCTTTGATACAATTTAGTTCTTCTATGATTAATTGGTTTTTATTTTGAACATTAAACTAAGGTAAAATGTAATGGAAAAAAAAAATTTTTTTTTCAAAATTTAAT